ACACGGGACGAAAAGACAGATTTACGCACGCGTAAAGTAAATGGCAAAGTTGTTGCAAAAATTAAATTTACCAAATTTGCTTAACTTTGCCCACTTGCAATTATGAAAATTACCAATACCTTTACACCCGCTGTTTAAGAGCCATTGCCGTGATCGCAATATGTAAAGATGTTGTAAAATCATGCGTAAAGGTAAATTTTGCAAAGCTTTGCTCGCTTGTAAATTTATTGCAAAGACCAACTTTGCAAATGACTTTACGCTATGAAACGTTGCTAGCAGATTTTAACTTTGCCCAAATTTGCACGTTTGCAAATTTAATGAAAAGTTGAACTTTGCAAAAAGTATACAAATAACTTTGCACGCTTGGAATACAAGAACTTTACATGGTGTTTTGCAGGCGGGGGAAATGGTATGCAATTACTGATTTTGATTAGATTCGCTCAGTTGCAAATTTAATACAAAAACTAGCTTTGCTTATAATCTGGAATCACTTTGTCTTTGCAAAAGTGGCATAAACGAACTTTTCATTGATTTTGCACCGGGGAGGAAGGTTTGCGCTATAAAAGACTACGGAATCTCAAACAGAAATTGAATACATGTATTTTGAATACTTTTCAATACAATATATCATCAATACAATACAATATTATGTAGCGGTATAATACTAGTACAGTTTAGGACTAAGAACCCCGTAAATTGTACATATAATATTAATAATATTACTTTATATAACATGTATAAAGACTGATTAACTAGATTCTACTTATAAACTGCATAGTGCAGTTCAGATCTTCAATAAAAGTAGCGAGATAAAAGGAAGTATTGCATAAAAACGGCTCATATCACGCATTTGGTTCAGACTGTCTATAATATGTCTAGATTTATCGGTGACATTGTAACTTTTCAGCGTCTTAAATTTTCCTTACAGTTACAGTTACCGTAAGCCCGCCGCAAATAAATAAAAGAAATCAGCTTATATTTATATTCAGTCTCGACGAAATGTAAATCATTTGAAATCAAGCCCTTCTTTGCGTTTTAATGACTCACTACGAGTTGCATGTCTCAAAAAAGTTAATTAACAATTATTCGCCGAAGGCGAGGTGATTATCGGTGAATATAATTGTTCTAGTATAATTTGATAGGTGATTGTTTAGAAAAAATAAAAAAAAATACACATTTCTTCGTCATTTAATTGACAAAACTTTGAAAATGGCGTTATAATCACCTCAACGGCAACCAATCAGCGTGGAGAATTTTCAATTATCACCTATGTCATTATTCTAATAACAAATTATTGGATGATGCCTCAACGTTATCCTTCGAAGCTGAGGCGGATAACTTAAACTGCATGAGGTCTGACAGTAGGCGAAAGACTAATTTGATAATGTCAATGACGAAGATATAGGCATGCATGCAAGCAAGCAAATATTGAAACAAATATTTAGATAAGCACTTCGCTAATTCTGCCGAGTTTTTTATTCAGGTTTATTTTTCTCTTTGATGTATATTCATCAAATACCTTGAAACTTGAAAATAAAAAATTCCTTGGATTTGACCATGGGATCGGCCAATTCATCAATATAGCGTATATGTTGGTGCTAAGCCTATAATTAGTACAATTACATAGGTGATTTTTGAAAATTCTCTACACTGATTGGTTGCCGTTGAGGTGATTATAACGTGATAATCAGCTAAGCGATTTTCGAAATGGCGGCCGAAGCAGTTTTGTCAATTAAATGACGAAGAAATGTGTATTTTTTAACTTTTTCCAAATAATCTCCTATACGAAATCACATACTAAAACAATTATTGTTGGTTATAATCAGGCTTGGTTATTATTGTGAATAAAAACCTCGACTATTTCGTCTCGGTTTTTATTCACTGATAATCACCTCGCCTTCGGCGAATATAATTGTTAATTATAAGGCTAATTATAAGGCATTCAAATTCGAACAAGACTGATGATTTAAAAAAGTTTGCTTTTTGGCCGAGAAGGTAAACACGCGCCGTAGTTTTTGCATCATGAAAAACAAATAAGAGTATAGAAAAAGTATAGAAACATATAATTATGGAGGATGAACTTCGTTTTGAAATACTACTGTGTCGGGGTATAATAATAACAGTCAGAATATTAATAGCAGTTTGATATATTAAATAAAATAGCGGTTTATGTATAAATAGCAGTTAATAATTTTCATAAACTTCATAAAATCCTGTAAAATCCATAAAAAGCAATTTTTTTCGTGTATCAATGAAATGTATTCTTCTGTGCATGTTATATAAAGTTCAGTTAGGCTATTCTAACTGAAATCTATTCTTCTCATCAGCTTCATTGTTACGTCACTTTAGTTGTGGGTGTAAGTTGGCAAGACACAAGAGCATTTAGAAACGTATTAGACAAGTAACGTAACAATGAACCTGATGAGAAGAAAATATTTCAATTAGCGTAGCCAAACTGCATAAACTACACAAAAAATGAATTGCACAGAAGCATACATTGATACATGAAATTGAAATCGCGAGAAGAAAGACTGATTTTACTGTCCCAGCTAGGGTACGTATGTCTACAGAATTTTATGAAATTCATGAAATGAAAACATGCATTTATAGTCTGACTATTATATATAATAGCCAGAATATAAATGCAGTTGTCTAACCTCATATTTTCTCTTTTCATGTAAAATAGTAGCTATAGTATTATTCCTAAACGAAGTTCGTCCTTCATAGGTTTCTATTTTCTAACGCTAATATTATATATATATGTATATATATATATATATATATATATATATATATATATATATATATATATATATATATATATATATATATATATATATATATATATATATGAGTGAGTGTTCGAAGAAATGCATTAAGTCCCGCGGCACGTGTGCGGTGGCGTTAAGATATAGCCACTTTATTCACGCGCGTGTCATTAATTTTCTCCGAATATACTCATCTCCTGAATAATTTCAACCACGATTATTAATGCTTCTCCTAAGACCAGGCTCAGCTAGTGTACATGCATGTACGCCAGTGAACTCTATGTAAACATAGAATAACGCATGTTTACACAGAGTTAACTGGTGTTCGTGCGTGCAAGCTGACAAGTTGCAAGGTAACGTGGATACGCATTTTGTAATAATACTCGTGCCTGAAATAGTTCAACAGGTTTAATTTTTATAGGAAATGGTAGGCGCGCGTGAATACTAAGTGACTCTCTAAACGCAACCGCACGCACTGGGGGATCTTGCAGCTTAGGCCTACACCGTGCAACAGCTCACCCGGCTATAGGCTAAGTAGTTTGCTCAATAGTTTCGACCGTATATTGTATAATTCGTATGCGTTCGGTATAATAATACTACAATACTTTAAAATCTAAAGCCTTTGAAAACACGCACTGCTACCACCCATTCTTCGTCGTTGTGATTCGTCTTCGATTTTTTCTGACGACATTGATTGTCGGCCTTTTCGCGTTCTGCCCACGTTGAACTAATATTTTGTCCAGCTCAGATTTCCTGTACGTCTGAGTTTCTACAAGAAAAGGTATACGTACTTTATATAAAATTATATTCACATTGTAACGTGCGGTTGTAACGTGCGGTGGTATAACGTGCGGCTGTAACGTACATTGTAACGTGCATCGTAACGTGCATTGTAACGTGCATTGTAATGTCATAATGGCCCGCTACTATATTTGATCTTTGCCTTTGGTCCACTGAAATAAATTAATCTCTAATAATAATAGAATTGGTTATGTATATAATTCAGCGTGTTAATTCAAAATAAGGAATATGGTACGAACTACGGGCACAAGAATGGCCTATGCCAGCTATGGTTATACCTGCATGTGCCTGTGGCAATGAACAAATTTGTACGTGACGTTATCTACTGTACAAAACATAACTATTTTTTGAGCGTACGCTTCTTCAAAACTTTTGAGAATTAGGAGAATTGAGATTTGAAATTAGGGGTCGGATGGGGTCTAGAGTATAGATTTAGAACCTTTAAATAAAAATAATATTGTATCAAAATTCTTGAATCTCGAATTCATTGAGTCTTGCCGTGAATTAAATTCGTCTCATTTAAATTCGACGATAATGCGACGTATGAAACATGCCTAATTCTTCTCTTTGTCGAATTGCAAAACATCAAACAAAAATTGTGAGATATTGTCCAAAGACACATGCAGACACACGCTTCAGTTCCGTGCAAGTATTTTCGGGGTTTTGTATTTTTATTCTCGCGAAAATGCGAATAAAAACTTTAGCCAGGGACGCTGGAACTGGGGGGGGGGGCAGGAAGGGCAGCTGCCCCCGTTGCCCTTTACCAGGAAGGGCAATTAAGGGGGGAAAAGGTGCCCTTTCAATTTAAAGGATTGCCTTGGCGAAATAGCGAATTGTCAGAAATGTTGGTGCAATTCTTTTATGCAGTCAATGAGCTTCAAGAATAGCACAATCGCCCGGCGGAGAACCCTCTCACACCCCTATCATCCAATAAATAGAAAACATGATTAGGCGAAGTTCAATTTCCAATGTTTTGCAAACATCTCTTAGTATATACATGGATAATAAAATACATGGATAGGAAACTAGCTGACGTGACCTAATGTTTTAATGGGATGATGGCGTTGAAACCTAGTTGCAAAAAATACAGCTAAACATTTTAGTCAAAGAGCAAATAAATATAACTACGCCATTCTACGATGAAATCTCTAAGTATTCCCAGTCAATTTTAGCAAATATTTCAAGCACTAAACGGTGAAAAATGCATCGCAAATTTCGTTAAAATTGGCGACGCCAATTTCGTAGCTACAAATGTAAAAAAATACAAAACAAAGACGAAAAACATTTACCTTGAATACTTTGTCGTGGCTTAGGCATGTTTTTAAAACAATTAGACCAGTTTATGCTTCAATATTACTCTTTTAAAGCGGAAAATATAGCGAAACTACAAAAATGCTGAGAACTTTGGCAATACGCGTCATGTCACAGATTGCAACTAGGTTAAGACTGTGACGTCAGCAAGTTTCCTATCCTGTTATTTTACAATCCATGGTATATATAAATTCAAAAGTGGCCTTTCACGAAAATCTGCCCCCCTTGCCGTCACATCGTTCCGGCGTCCCTGACTTTAGCGATATCTTGCTCTGCAAATACATAAAATTTGGTCGGCTGAGATTGAATTTGATTGTATATATTTGTTAATTCACATCGCATGCATTAAGTGTTCATTCGCTATGACGTCATTATGTGAAAGATCTAAAAATTCGGCGCATGAATGGGGTGACGTCTGAATTGGGAATTAAGGTATTCGAATACTCATAGCTTGGTGTCGTATAATCTTATAAAAGGATTGCAACCAATCTTTTGGGACTTTAAATATACAATAAAACTGTGGTTATTTTGATGCCATATTCAATGAAAGATATAATGATGGAATGTAATGTAATGAAAGATATAATGATGGAATGGCCGCCGTGACCTAACGTTGCATGTTCACCTGTAAGTATTGATATAGTAGGGAACTCATACAGTTTATTATACTTTATAATCGCATTTTCAGTAAGCTTAGATATACGGGACGCTGCGACAGATATTATACTATGAGAATTTATTTGAGGAATTCCGCTGCGCATCTTATTGTTCAGTTTTGTTGAGTTATGGATGTAAAAAGTATAAAAACGTACCGCTAATAAGAATGACATGTACACCTTCTGTACTTGTAAGCTGTAATCCAAATGTTTACTAGATTCCTTTACTAGATTCCTTTACTACCACGACTGGACAACGGCAATGCTGTAAAAATATCATTATAGTCAGATAATTATAATTTCAGTAATATTCTCTCCTAACATTAAAAGGGAAACGGTCAATAAAGATATACATTTTTTCACTGTGAACAACGGAACAGGCAAATAGCTAATTATGCATTATTCAGTATGTTGCTATGCATCCCTTGAGTGCGACATATGTACACTGGATGTGTTAGATATAATTAGGCAAATCGCACTACCATGCACGCAACTCTACGAATTAACTGTTAATAGAAAGACCACACTTATCCATTCAGCGCACGTACAAAGTTTCACTTCATCCCTACTCAAGTTCAGACACAGCGCACTTTATACATATATGCATGATGTGGCAACTTAAGGTGCGATATATCGATAGATATCTTATATACACTAGATAGCGCATCTCTTTTAGCAAAATTGAAGCCAAGTAGATTCCAGCGGTTACCCCCATTTGAATAGATAGCGGCCATGTTGGTCGTTCCCACTTGCTAATAGTAAACGCTTAAAAACAACAATAACTTTCATCATTTGAATAGTTTAAAAACGTATTTGGAATAAGAAATAGAAAACATACGAACCTTCCCATTTCATGGGAACGACCTGAGACTGCAATCACGGCTTCAATTTTTGAATTACAGAGTAATTAGATGCACTATCTAGTGTATATAAGATATCTATGGATATATCTATATTTGGTCACCATGCATGTGTCGACATTGTACCATGTTAATAGCTACCATATAGTTTCTGAACGATGTCTTCACTCTGTGTACAATTTGTCCACCTTGGGGAGTAGAGAATTTATGAGTTCGTATTCAAATCAAATTATAACCGACTTTAAGTCGAGATTGGGGTTAGTGGTTAGGAGCTAAACGCAATATAAGTTAAAGTTATATATGGGTTAAGTAAATGTGGTTGAGAGTGCATGAGTGTTGGAAGTAACGCGATCTTGGTTAGCTATTCTCAATGCTTTCCCGACACTATCATGTGTTCCACATGGAACATTTGTGAAACATTTATTTTGCTAATCTAGAACCTATATCAACTCTCGTCGACTCTAATTCTCGTTTGATCAGTTTAGGTTTTAGGGGATTGGTTGCGAAAAATGATGGATTATTTTAAGGGATGAGCTAGGTTGCGGATGACATTAAAACGATTTACGCCTAATTTTATTGGTAATGTGAATGATATTATTGCGCCCAGTATAGGCTATAAACTCAACGTCAAACTCAAAATTCACATCAACTCGAGACGAACTGTATATAATTCGGGATTAACTCGAACTCATGTTTTACAATATCCCGCCTGCTTTGTATGTGGAATGTAATTGTGTCTTCTTTTAGTACCTATACTTTGTGTATATTGTGTATTATAATGTAATAGTTTGTAAACGATCAAGTATCTACTTTGGATATGTATGATGTTTTAAATTTTTGTTTAATTTGTGTACGGTACATGTCTTATCAAACATAAGGTGGGTACACTTTGCATATATTAGACACTTGCACCGTATACAGCTATTTCAAATTAAAAGCTATTTAAATCCCCGAGCAAAGCGGAGAAGTCGAATACGAGCGCCAAAGGCTGATGGGAAGCGCTAAACCAGCAGCCTTTCGCTCTCGTAGTCGATTTTTCCGTTTTGCTCGGGGACAATCTTAATTGAAACAGCGGTATAGTTATTATATACAAGATAGGTGAAGTGGACACAAAGTCTACAAACCAAAGTAGACATATCATACAATATAAAAAATTACCTATAGTTCCGGTTTCCGACCGACCCTATTTTTTTCTGCCGACCCTATTATTTTTTCAACGCGATTGACCATGCCAGTGTGCGACCCTAATTTAGTGGTTGCGGGCTGCTCATACAGCGTGCCAAAATGACGTCTGTTGTCACACTAATTATTTAACCAAGTTGCCTATATTCGTCCATAGAAAATACGCATCTCTAGTTACTATTGATGTCGGGATTCTACTGCAAATCGCCCAGCAAAAAACCGCAAAACCATGAAAAAATATCCAAAAAGAATTATTTCCGACCTACCGACCTTAAGGGAGCGGTCATTATTTATGGTGGGGGATGGCACAGAAGCGAAATGTTTTTCGTGGCAAAACTTTTGCTGACCAACCCATTAAAAAGTAAAAAAATTGATTACCCAACCGCAAATATCAATTAAAAAATAAATATCCACCCCTGGCCAAAAACGTTACAAACGGACACCATTCAGTTGTCACACATGTCCTATACCACTTCTATGACATGAGTTTGATAACTGCTTGTGTAATTTTCTGCAGTTTAAAGTTTCATGTTGTCTGCACATGTACTTTCTTGCCTCCTGGCAAATCGAAAAATGATCGAGATAGTGACTCTGCTTGATTTACAAATTATATTGACTTAAATATGACTGTTGACATTGCCATTTAGTCTTCAATATTTGAGTGAGTCATGCTTTGGAACTGATGACAATAAATTTTTATCACCCAACC